TCTGGTTTTGAGTGAATTTAAGAAAATGGATACCTCAGGTCAAAGTTCATTTACTGTGTTAACAGTGGCTACTGCCCCCTGGTTGTGCTAGCTACATGTGCAAATAATCCATCTCAATAACCTTTAGTCTATATCAATTTCAAAGCCTGAAAGCAGTTTTTTTTCTCAATATGATGAAATATTGTTCCACATGTGCTGGAACAGTGGAGACATGCGGGAATTAATATAAAATGATGAATGCTGCTAGCAGACGTGTCATACACCATCCACCTGCTGACACAGGAACTATCGCTAGCTGCTAGCTTGTGCCATGCTTCTTTTGGACGGGGCATCAATGCACAAAGCTACCATATGGCTCTGCCAGCAGTGATGGCCAACAGCCTTATGAGACGATATTAAATATGACAGGCACTCTAAGAAAAGACTACCACTGTGTCTTAGCCAAGTTATAACATTAAAGGTATTTTACTGGCCCGCTAGCGAGGCAGCGTTCCCGGCCGAAGCAGGTTAAATCGTTAGCCAACAGCCGGCTAACATTACGTGTCCCACTATCAGAGACATTTCGCTTGGTTACGCTACGTGGCTCAACGCTGAGTCCACATTTAACCTTAACGTACACAGAGCCCAGATGGTATTACTGTGCCGATGGACGGTGTGTTTACTAATAAAAACCCGAGAACAACATCTAAGCCGGTCGTGACAGAAATGTTGCAACACTTGACACCGATTAAGTTACAGTTGAGCTATTGTTGGTTAACGTTAGCGGTTTAGCCCAACCCTGTCCTCCGAGGTGTATTTAATTACAGGCCCAACAAGCTCCACGGGCACAAATCATCAACCTGGCGTACATCCGGAGCTAATATCGTGCGAAAAGGGCGAATAAAATCAGAGTCTGAATCAAACTGTCGCTAGGTGTAAAAACACAGTGGAAATCGCCTTTAAACTATGAATCGGTTAGCGTTAAGCCTATGAGCTACTGCCTCACGGAGCCTGCGATGACAACGATGACCATTAGCCACGAGAGCGAGTAACCCTGGCTGTCACTTCAGCTAACGTTAGGTTAACTTTAGCCAAACACTTGTCAAGATAAAATATCAATCGAACTGATGTTAACACATTCAGATTACACTGGTTTTATCCCTTCTTGTATTCTGGCCAAGATTAGCTGGCTAGCCCTCCCGGTGTGTGGATTGACAGCCGGCGGGGCCTGCTAACACCAGCTAACATTAAGTAGCCTGTGTGCCTTTGACAAAAATGCAGACAGGCTCCGGTGCACTTCAAGCTAGCACTACCACCTTTAGATATTTTTACCCTTACCGGGAATCAGTAGTGAATATGTTGTAAGATGTGAACTCGGGGGATCGGCCTCTGATCAGTCTTCTGTTACTGAAAGTAGTGGTGTTGTAGTTTCCTTGTCCTTTACTCCAAAAGAGAAATGTTGCCCTTTTCTTAGCTAATGACTTAGCGAGCTAGTTAGCTAACCGGCAGCCGGGGTGAGTGCTGCTGCTGTCACTTCGGTTTAAATCCCCGAACGTGCAAAAGTGACAGTGCTCAAAATCAAATAATATAGTACTTTGGGAGTACTACTGACAACTCCGATGGCCCCGAAAAAAGCCTCTGGACCGTAGGTCCATGATCAGGGCGTCGATGGTGACGGATTGCCGGTTCGGTACGTACACCACTGTCGTGTGAGGAGGCTCAGAGCGAGGCCATAGTGCGGTGTTTCTCGTCCGTGGAGCCGGTGCGCCTCCAAGTCGCATGGGTAACTTCCGGGAAAATTAAAATTTAATGCCGTTTCCTTGGTCATGTGATACAGGAGCTTCTGTCAGTTCATCAATCTAGGCCTTACAATAATCTGATGCTCAAGGTGAGGGATATTTATTGTAAGAAAATTCCTTTTAAAAAATCCAATTCCTCATAAACATAAAGAAATACATTTTAAAACTGTAAACGAAATTTGTCCTTCAAACGAACTCATCAGAACAAGGTTTATATTTCATAATTGTAACCAGTGCAACACAAATGTAGAAACAACAGAGCACTTGTTTTATGCTTGTGACATGATCCAGAACGTATGGAAATCCTTGCATGATGGGCTGAGCTCCAAATCTATAAATATAGATTTTCTCTCTTTCAAAACTATCCAGTAAAGAGTAATTTTGAAAAACAAGCAGATTGAATTTCTAGTTAATATCAGCATCACCATAAAATACTACATACATCACTTTCTCCATCAAAATTAAAAAAAAAAAAAAAGCCAGCTAATATACTATCAAGTAAATGAGAGAAATATGTCAAGTACAGCTGCAACAATTCGTTAATCAAAAGAAAATTACCCTGCAACTAATCTGATAGTCTATTTATCATTACAACCAAGCAAAAAATGTCAAACATTGTCATGTTTTGTCATGTTAAATGTGAGAAGATTTCATTGAAAATAAATTTCCAGCACAGCTGTAGCCATGGAGGGGGGAACCAAATCTGCTGGGTGGACAAACCCCCCTGGCAGATGATTGACACTTTACTCAGACTTTACGTGGGCTTTCTGACGGGTATAACGTAATAAAGACATTACTCAAGGAAGTGCAGTGTCAACTGTTTTTTGGATGAGCAGAATCTGCCAATCAGGTACAAAGAGACAGGTGAGGCTGACATGAGGCCAACTTGCCTCCCACCCATTTCCAAACCAACCAAAGCACCTTCTGTAAGCTCCAGCGGGCCTCTGCAGCATCATCAAACACCCGCCTCCAACCCATCTGAATCCCAGTCACACAGAGGCCCAAAAATGAATGATGTGGACCAGCCTGATCTCCCCAAGTCTTTCCCTGTCCTGCCATCCCATCCTCCTTCCCTTCCTTACTATGCAGCATTTCCCTTCTCTTTCCCTTTTACACCAATTAAGTTTGTATATGTAGGTTTTCTGCGGGTGCTCTGGTTTCCTCCCACAATTTAAAAAATTGAAAGGTGATTTGTTTGCAAATTGCAAATTTAAAGTTTAATTACGTGAATGAAACTTTGAATTTGCAAAAGCAAAATCACCTTTCATTAACAATAACATATGTAAAGAAATAAACTACAAAAAGAAGTCTGGGTTACTGCCCAACTGCCCAGAGTTCACACCCATAGATGGTCCAGCCATGTACTACGTTTATACCTAGTCTTGTTTTTTATTATTCTATGTTAATTACTTAATCACATGTAAGTTTAGACGGTTTTAACTTCAGATAATTAAGGTTTATTATGTGAATTCTTTGAACTAAAGATGTGATAACTGTACACCCACCAGCAGCAGAGGTGCCAGTCTTGCAAGCACTATAAGAGTGATCATGTTGCCAGGATGCACAAATGATGGGACACTGAACTGAACTGGAACATTGAGCTGTATCAGCGGTATCGATACTTTCGGGGTCGATCTGCAGACCCCTAATGGTGAGATTGTGTTTGTCACTCTTCTTCCTTGTCTTTAGAGCATTTTTTGATCTTGCCAACCTCAGTCTACCGAGGCCATGATAAAGTGACACAATAAAGGACCTTATCGTGTCACGTGAAGTATGATCTAGCTAAAGAAATGGCCCATGCAACGGAGATATTTTACTCTGGTTCTGCCTGATAGAAAGGAAAGCTAATTTGTACCAATGGTAAATAGATAAGGGAATACTGACAGTGGAAATAATAAGTGTTGCAACAGGCAGTCATTTTTGTTATCCAGTAATATGCTTATTTTCTTTATTGATTGACTTTTTTTCCATGAAATAGGAGAGTCCAAGGTTCTGTATTCAAATTGCATGTTGTTCCAAGAGTCTAAAACCAAAAGATAAAACACTGACATATGACTAGAAAAGCAGAAAATCCCCACATTAGAGAAACAGGATCAATCAAATGTTTCAGATTTTATTTGAGTAACAGAATCGATGAAGTGATTATCAAAAGTTGAGGATGAATTTTCTGTCAAATCAACTAATTGATTAGTACGGTATCATTTCATCTTTAGAAATGATAAATGTGGTGTGTAAAAGACAAACAGGACGCTGAACACTCAAACCAATCAATCAGACACAGTGGCCACGTGGGCCTCGGGTGGCCCCATGATCATTTTTGTCAGTTAGTTTGTGATAACTTGATTAACTGCTAACTTGTTTGAGAATATGCAGTATACTTAATGGAATCAACAATTATTTGGATAACTGATCAACTGTTTTAGAAATTTTTCGAGCAAAAACATCAACAACATTTGCTGCATCTCCCTTCTGAAATGTGAGGATTTGGTGCTCGTCTTTGTTACACATGACAGAAAACTGAATATCCTAAACTATTTAAATAGATCCCCTTGTGCCATGGGAAATTTTAACAAGCAATTTTTACTATTTTCTGACAGTTTATAGACAATGCAACTGAGAAAATAATTTGCAGGTTAATCAATAATGAGGGTAATCATTAGTAGCAGCTCTAAAAAGAATATACTGTAACTGAAATGATTAAGGTTCATCCTGCATCATTACCTGTGCAGTCTACCTGTTATATAGAGGGACCAGTGTTAAAATTTACATGGTGCTTATTTCTAAATACACTTAAGTCTAACCAAATTACCGCAAATGAATGTTAATGGAAACCTTCTTTTTTAAACTTAGGGCCTAGCGGGTTAATCCAGCCATGCCAGCAGCCTCAGCCAATGAGAATGGGTTTCTCTGTTTGCCTAATAATTGATTTGGATTTGGTCCATGTACTGTGAAATTTCTCTGTTAATAGATTTTGAATTGGAAGGAGATTTTTTTTTGGAGGCTTTTCAGAGCACACAAAAAGCACCGTGTCCAAAATCATTTGTGCAGCCCACTCAAACAGATTATCCCAAGAAGATGTTTATTTATTTATTTATTATTTAATCGCTTCAACAGTCTGTGCAAATGCAGCTGAAGGTGCAGACTGAAGAGGGCTGGTATATATTTAAGATAAATGCTTGAGGCATTACACAATTATGAAACAAAGCATACTCTCACCACAAATGAGCATTATACCGGCTTTATTTGAGAAAAGTGGTAACATAGTTGATCTAGTAACAAAGACAGTGTAGCATTTTGTTTCAACAGCATGAAAATAGCTGCATGTGGACATGACTGGTCAAATACAAGTTGATTTGTGGCTTGTGATAGTGCAATGCATCTGTTTGTTCTTCTAAAAACAGGTCTACAAGAGGATCAGTAAGAAAATACTCAATGCAATTTTTGGGTCGAGTGTGGGAAATGTGGGTAAGGTGCTTGAATCACTGTGAGCCATCTGAGGCATCACATGGTCCATGGTCACCACTAGTTTTTTTGCTGACAGGAATGGAAAGTACAAGATTTCTCCAGATCTGTTGGGAAGAGAAAAATAGAAAAAAAGCGACATGAGAAAGCAGAGCAGAAACTTACTTTTATGGTGTGTGTGATGTGTCTAGGTTTTGATTGTTAATCTGTTAAATTACTGTCCTAATCATCTTTATTCAACCCGCAGTAATACAAACCTGGAGTGGTTTCACTGCACTGTCTGAGTGAATTCATGGCGTTCATGTACTCGACTCCCAAAAACTGTTCATAGTTCGTTCCAGACAGAATCTCCTGGAGACATTTAGTGGAGTCCTTGAAGAGCAGGTTCTTTCCGCCATCTGAGTGGAAAATTCTGAAAGAGGCATCACTGCCACTGTTTCCAAACTTGGCCTATAAATAAAGAACAAAATTTTGATTTTAAACACAGCTATTAATTTTTTTGTTAAAATTGACATTTCTACATCGTCAGAAATCAACATGGGGCTTAGGGCTAAATGCTGAAAGTTAAGGCAATACCTGTAAAATTAAAAAAAACTATATCCCAGTGTAGTGGTTTTAAGGTATCTGACAAAATAATTTTATTCTATGTTAGCACTAGAAATTGAGTGCTTAGTTGATACAGTGCTAAGATACTGTACCCCAAACAGCCCACGATGTATCACTGGTGTGTGAGTGATAGAAAATGTGCTGTATGTTTGAGTGAATGTGGCTTGTAGTATAAAACACTTTGAGTGGTTGATAAGACTAGAAAAGCACTATGTAAGTGCAGTTCATTCACCAATAACTTTGTCACCCTAACTAACTTGCCTCTGCAAAAACACCAAAATTCTCATACAAATCTAAAAAGGGAAAAAATAACCCTCTCCAAAATGTATTGACTTCACAATCGTAGCCCTTGTAATGTGATATTTTGTAATGCAAACAACCAAAAACTAAAAGTGACCTAAAAATTCATCACTGACCTGCTGGTCCTGGAGAACGCGGATCACCTCGCTGCGGCTCTCTGGACGAGTCACCACAGCGTGGGCGGGCACTTTAGCCAAGTTGCATGAGAGGAAATCAGAGACTGGCACTGGAGCCTTACCAGGGCAGATCAGCTCGTAGTCAGCAGAATTCACACCACTAGCCCATGCTGGACCATTACCTTTGACAAGAAGAGGTGGGATGAAAGACTGCTGTAGTTTTACAGGAAACAACACTGTCATAGATGAGACAATATGTCAGTGTCAGTCTCTTACCATCACTGTTTTCGCCAACGATTGTGTGTTTGATGAAGGCAACATCACCGGAATTCTCCACGAGACACCTGTGATGACACGCAAAACATAACTAGAGTAATTAAAGGAAAATTTGACATTTTTGGAACATGTTTATTTGCTTTGTTGCCAAGAGTGATAGCAATAGTAATACTACTGTCATGTCTGTGTGTTAGTACAGAGCTGGGTTTGGGAGGCTGTCATCTGAGCATAGAGAATAAAGCAGGGGGGAAAACAACTATCCTGACTCTCTCCAAAATTTTAAATGTAAGCGTATTAGCACCTCTATAGCTCACTTATACAATGTAGCAATGCTTACAACCTCCTTGTTCAAGCTATATTCAGCACTCAGACACAAGAGTGATATCAATCTTTTCCAAAACTCAGAAAGAAAGTTAATCTATATATTTCATAAACTATCAAACTAGTGCTTTAACATACATGCACATAAAACTCTGCACAGAACAACTGTACTATTGCTTCCTACCTAAAGGCTCCAGCGTAGCCGTAGTACTGCTCTTCAGCACTTGCTTTGCACTTGTACTCATCACCCACAGTTCTGCGGCTGCCGACACACTGAGTACAGAATGAAGACGTGGGATCTGCTCCGGGGGCACAGCCGCTCGGGAAGAACTTTGCTGAGGAGAGGAAGAGAAACAGTCAGTTCAGTGTGTTAGTGTTGAAATTAGAGGTGTGCAAAAAGCAGTCGCGGCTCTCAACAATTACATTTATGAACTATTAAATGGTTTCGCTAAATACGTTTTGGTGGAAATATAATTGCTGTTTGGATTACATTCATTGACAATGTTGATTTCCAGTGTTACAATGTGCCGGAGCACAGAAGTTGCAGGAGGTGGTCGGGTTGGATGCTGGTCTTATAGAGCACATGATTTTGATTTTAGATTAGGCTGAAGCTACAATAACAGTTGTTAAAGTTTGGGAGACTGTGATTTTCATGAAATACTTAAACGTAACTAAGTGTTGAATTGCCTAAACATGGTGTAAACATAAAAAAAATCAGGGTTTAGTTGCCCCAAGTGGACATTGTATGACTAAATATATTAAATATGTGAGCATTTTGTGTTGAATAAAACATTTTCTTGAAACGTTGATAGGAAATATATTCTGGGCGCCACTCTTTTTTTCTCAAAACGTATTAAAAATACATTTTTAGTGGAAGAATTAGCCTAATTGTCACAGTAGGTGCTTTGCTTAGATAAGCACATGGTTACTTACAGAAGTCACAGTCATTGGTACTTTTGTGGATGTGACCCATGGGAATGTTCCAGCCTGCAGTTCTGCCGATGCCTGTGTGGCAAGACCTCTTGCCCTTCAGGGTGTCCCAGGTCACCCCTGAACCTTTCTTTACCACAGCAACAGCATAGTAAGAGGAGGCTCCAGCTACAAGAGTGAAAGTATAGAGAGAGATGGATCCGATAAGTACCAACCATATTATTATTAGTTATAGTTAATATAATTTGAAAAGGGTGATACATGAGTATTGTTTTATAAGATTAGATGGGTAATGCTTTATTTTACTGTAATTTACAAATAATTTCCTAGACAGAACTATATAATTTTAATATTTGTTACAGGGAAAACATGCAGTGTTCAGTTTGAACACTTTTTTTTAAATCCAACTGTTTTATGAATTAATATTATATGTATATATAGAAACAACAGAAACAGACAGGTTTATTACCATCATTGTTGCTGCACTGCCCTGTGGAGAGAGACAAATATACAAATATTACTCAGGTTAAAAAAAGGTAGAATAAAAACACAGGATTGTATGTGATGATTTCTGTGCTATCTAGGCATTGTACCTTCATCATACTGCTCCACCATAACAGGAACCAGACCACACTTCCCAGCTGTGTACACCTGTCCTCCATCTACTGCCATTGCGTCAGCCTCTTTACGCTGCAGGGTGATTTAAGCAACAGATAATCAGAAACAAATGCCATAAAATGGAGCAAAAAATGATCAAGTTAGTAACACATTTCCATATTTAAGCCAAGACTGTTTTACCATAATCTTTTTCAGACACTCTTCAACTGAGGGGGCATTCTGGCATTCGATGGCAGAGCCGTCATCACCCACACTGTTGATGGTCCACTGGTCACACTTGGAGGTCTCAGCGTGGCCCACAGCGCACCATTTAATGGCATTGGATGAAGTGCCTGGGGTCTGCTCTGGAAAGTGAAGTTACATATAACCATAAGCCACTGGCTGCTGTCAACAAATGTGTTTGTGTGATGGTTTGTATCTTAACCTGTGTGTTTTATCTGCTCATGTTTACCGTACCTTTCTTCAGGGAACGAACGATGCTCATGTATTCAGCACCCAGATACAGGAAGGAGTCTATGTTCGGGGGCAGACGCACCAGCTTTTCCGCTGAGTCCTTGAACATCAGGTTCTTGGCAGGTGCGTAGGCTTCAGATGAGAAAAGCTTAAAGCCCTGAAAAGACACATAGTAAGCCAATCCATTATGAAAACCACCAAACACAAGCTATGATGTTTACATGAATCATTATGCTCTCCCACTTCTATCTTATCAGGCAGTCAACTCTACTGCTCACTCTTGCTGCTGTAGCGTGCTTTACCTGTACTGCTTGCAGGTTTGTCCAGATTAATTCAGCCAGCTGTGGGTCTTTGCGGGTGACAACAGCATGAGCTGGTACCCTGGCCAGGTTGCAGGTTTTATAATTGTTGATAGGTGCTCTGGTGTTATCCTTGCACAGCAGCTCATAGTTGGCCTTTTCAGATTCTGAAAGTGTTTCACAGCCATGATTTAAAAATGTTGGTTGGTTTAGCAAAGGTGTATTTTTTCATATTGACATATTGGGCAGACCCACAAGTATTATATCAGTTATGGAGTGAGAATTTTGACTGTGATTTTAAAATCAAGTGTAATTTAAAAGTAAAACAGAGCTTCATATAGCACGAACATTCATTTGACAAAATAATTAGAAAGACAGGGATATAAGGAAAGTCAGGGAGGGACAGATATCTAAAAAAACATATATTCACTGCTGCATCAAAAAATCAATGAGATTAACCTGCCGCAGTTTGTGAAACAGCCACAAAATGTAATGTATTGATTTATGTACATGGACAGAAATTTGACATTCATGGCAGCACAATATCTTGTAGTCAATACAAACTTTTTTCATTTTTTTTTCAATAAATCATTACATATGAGAAGAGATGATACTGACCAGGGACAGTGAGGTGCTTCACAAAAGCGACTTCTCCTTTGTCCTCCACCAGACACCTGTTAAATAGACCAATCCACAGTTGCATCAACATAAGAGGTTTAATCATCATCAGCAGTATAGTGTATTTCCACAGAGAGAAATGGATTTAAGAAAGCATCAAATCAGGATTACAGACTGAGGCGTGAATGGCTACTGTATTTAGAGAGGGATAATGGAGAGGTAGATAAGGGGCAGTAAAAATTATGGTAGAGCTGAGAAAGATCAAAAAAAGACTCATACTAACTGGAAGGCACCGTCGTAATCATAGTAAGGCTCCTTGTGGGACCTGGAGCAGTCTCCCTTGCACAGCTCGCACAGTTTTGGCCTTGATGCCCCTGGGACACAGCTTTTCAGGAAAAATTCGCTCACCGCTGCAAAACAGAAATAAAATAAATACTGAGAATTTTTATTTTTCGGTCCCTGCAATGCACCAATGCAGAATCTTCTATCCTCCATTTATTTTCCTTTGCTTTAAAGGTGCTATATGTACATTTTCTCTCCTGCCGAATGGGTTTAGTAACTACCTGTTACTTCCTGTAACCTCTGAATAAACACTACATCAGTGTGGTATGGATTCATCAGACTGAACAGCTATAACATGTTAGGGCTCCACAGTTCATCTAAAAGTACACCAAAACTGTCACCGTTATTTTTGATGGTCTAACCTACGACATATTCAATGCACATATTCGACACTGTGATCAATTGTGACGTGTAACTTCTTGAGGAAACATCTGACTCACCTTCCTCCACTGGTTTGTCGTCAATGCCTCCCCAGGGAAGTATACCCATGGACACCAGAGTTCCTATGGGAATGTTCCAGCCTGCAGATTTCCCCAACCCAGTGTGACAAGTTTTCTTCCCTCTGAGGTCGTGGAAACCGAATCCTGTGTCCTTCTTCACCACAGCAACAGCGTAGTAGCAGGTGTCTGAAGCTAGATGTACACAGAACAATTGTGAGCAAAACATTACACCATGTCGCTCATATAAAATGCTAAACATCCTTCTTCCTCATGCTTAGTTCACCAGTAAACACAGCTGATTAGTAAACATACTGGGGCCGTAGTCCTCAGCAATAATAGGATGCAGGTTGTAGTTGTTCAGTCCAGCTGTGTAGATGTCCCCTCCATCCAAAGTGATGGCATCTGCCTCAGCAGCCTGTTAGAAAAACACAGATCCAGCAGCATGATGTTTGCGCTCTCCAAAGGATATTTCATTGGTAATTAAATACAGTGGAAATGTATCAGTCGTATTACTTTTGTACACTGTTGAGACATGTGTGTAGCTACTTTGCTTGCAAACTAAACTTTTACATTACTTTACACTTCTACTCTACTACATTTCATAGAGGAATATATTTTACAGTTGTAATAGTTATTTTGCATACAAGATGTTACACACAAAAAATTGAATAGTTTGTATAATATTATGCAATTTTGTAGATACATCTTCTCACCAGAATGCATTATACAGTAAAGCAAATATGTCATGCATCAATAATAGCAATACAAATTATAATAGACTAAAACATTCTGAAAGGAGCTGTTCTATGATGAATATTTATAATTTTAACAATTTTATATATATTTTGCTGATGATACTTGTGTCTTTACTTAAGTCTGGTTTTGAATGCAGGACTTTAACTTGGACTGGAGGTACAGCACTTATACTATATTATTATTCACTATATTGAAGCACTTGTATTTTACTTGATTGCTTCATAATTCTTCTTCATTACATTTGAGTGGATAATATCTCATTTATTACTCCACTACATTTGTCTGATAATGAAATGATCCATTATTATGGACTAACCTACCAAACAATATATAAAGTAACATTGAGATGCTACTTACACATTTATGTATTAACAATAACAATAGCTTAATTATATATAATATTGATACAGTCCTGCATCATGAGTACTTTTACTTTGAAGAACATTCTGTAGGCCCTTTACTTCTGTACTTTTAAGTAAGCACGATTTTGACTCAGAACTTTTACATGAAATTGAGTGTTACAGTACATACAGTAAATGTAGAATTTTATTCTATTATTAATCATTATTGTGGTCTTGCTGCTTACAAATCTAAATTTTACATTTTAACAGCTCGGCCATTTCAGCAGGCGAGAAGATGAAATCACATGTTAACACTGGGCAGAACTGCGAAGACATTTCTTTTACATACAATTATTTACTGAACACATCTAAGGAAACGTATGTTCTGGATAATGTGAATTTTCTGACCTTAATCGCAGTGATACAGTCGATGGTGTTTTCTTTCCTCACGCAGGAGAAGGCAGGAGCCGCAGTAGCAAGGTCCAAACATTTCCGATATTCTTGCTCCGACTTGACGCACCATTTCACCTTCTCAGCGGGGGCCGCGAACACAGCGGCTGTGAATGCACATGGATAAATAACAATGCGGATAAACTGGGCGTTCAGTAAATCTGTGATTGAATGTGTAAAATGCAATGTCTTTACCGATGCATCCGAGCAGCGCGACAAGGAGGAGAAGCTTCATGTTGGACACCGGGGTCTCCAGGTCAGTAGAGCAGAGTGACAGAGGGAGAGCTCGGGCTTTTATAGCAAAACCTGAGTGAAAAAAAAAGGAAAAAAAAAAGAAGAAAAGATAAAATGCCACAGTTTGCTCAGGTTTCCTAATGTGTGCCTACGCGTGTGTACTTTCGTGTGCACATGCGATCACAGGGAATACACATAGAGTACATATCCCACATTTCCTCATAATGGAAAGTCACAGACTATCTCCTTTGAAACTATTTAATCATTGTTTGCACTATCTGAAATCAGCCAGAGGCACAGAAAACAGTATGCCACGGATCACAAAACAAGAATTAGGCTAATTTAAGTGAAAAGGTAACACGATGACAGGATCCAAATTATGAATAGTTCAATTTTGCCTATGCAGTAAAGTCAGCCAAGCAATCTGCCACTGCAAACACAATGCATCAGCGGTGGAAGAAGTTTTCAGATCCTTCACTTAGGTAAAAGTAACAATGGGCCACCACAATGTAAAAATACTCCAAGTAAATGTCCTTATTTCAAAATCTTATTGTAGTAAAAGTACAATAGTATACTATCTGCAAAATATAGCTTACTTCAAGTATCAAAGGTGAAAGGACTCATAATGGAACAGAATGACTCCATGATATTAATGTATTGTTATTAGCCTACTATTTATTAATGTTGAGTATACATTTCACTTTAGCAGTTGGAGCTTATCTTAACTATACAGTTTTGGATAGTTTAGATAGTTTCAATTATAACTATTTTATAGTATAGTATTGATCATTAAGTAAATCAAAATCTACAACATAACCAGGAACTATAGCTGTCAGGTAGCACAGTAAGAAGTACATTTCCCTCTGAAAGACGTGTGAAGTAGTAGAAAATGAAAACACAAATAGTTCAAAATTGTACTGATGCACAGAACTTGATTAAATGTACTTAGTTACCCCTTTTTTTCAGCAAAAGCTAGGTGCTCTACAATTGTGTAACAACCTTATCCTAAGATTACTTGATTTGTTAATGAGGTACTGTATCCAGCTTATCAAGACAGTTAAATGCAGTTTTGGGGGCATTGAGTATTGCAGTATTTAAAATATTGCATTTATCAAAGTATTAGAGAAGCTGCAGTGTGTCTGACTCACATAAGAGTCGTGTTTACAGAGTCAATATTACTCAACACAAGAGCTAAGGTTCATGTTGATTTGTAAATCGAACTAATAACACCTCCTCCTTTATTGTCATCTGCCAAATATTGAAATATCACCCAATAACTTTCACAATAGATTTCATGGGTTTTTTTTGAGCTGCCTTTGGTGGTGCAAGTTGGGAAGATCCAGGACGTGATACTAGATGAGTGGATGGATTTCAGTTTTGAGGACAATGTCCTGATGCTTTAAGATAAGAGGAGGGGTTTGTGTGACTGGTATCGAATTATGAATAGAAGAATAAATTACAATTCAGGCTTAAGTTTACTGAAGTAGGCTAACTGATAAAATGTTTTTATTTGGCACAGCTGTGTGTGGTAATCAGAGGACTGTTCCATCCTGGGTCCAAATCCAAAGTCTTTGTAAGTCATGACGGGAAAGATGTTTCCAAATATTTTTTATTGTTCACTACAGCCTTTTGTCTGTGTTCATCTCTTTTACCTACGTCAGTACATGGTTTTCTTTGTCCTATTTTATATTTGTGATTTTTTTTATCTGTCTGTATCCTAACACTTACCTTACACTATACACTTTTTTAAAGCCAATGGGATTTAACAGAGTTAACAGTGGTTGAAGCAAACTATAATACAGATAGTAATGAATCAGTAATAACTGAGATGCAGCAGGGGATCCAGATGAAGGTATAATCAGTGACTATATGGAATCTGTGTGGAATTATTGCTTTTTTCCATTTTGCCCTGTAAAGCAAGTATTTTCATTTAAATCTTAAGTGGACCTTTTTTTTATGCTGTGAAAAAAAAAGGTATAAAAATGAGAGGCACATAAATTAGACACTGCTTTTGATCTTGCCTCCACATTGAGGATTTGGCTGCTCTTGAGTTTATTCATGTGAGTTCTTTGCTGTCAGCTGGTAAACCTGACATTGAGGTGAGTCACTGAAAATACTGCTGGGGCTAAGTTTACCTGTTACCATGAAGAAAATGGATTCAGTTAGAGAGGAAATTATGTGAAAACTAAAGCAACGGGAGTACGAATAATATACTATAGAGACATTTATTAGTGTGTGTTGTACAGCTGAACAGTGAAAACCTATGTTATCCTTTAATTAAAATGTTTGAATCTAAAATACATGTTAATAATATTTAATCACAAGGTTCTGTTACCTTGTAATTGGTAGGAAGCCTAGATAACTTATGGAGAGAGAGGGAGTATAAGCAGTAAAGTTATAGTTATAGTTATAGTTATTCTAGGGCTGTTGGGATTGGAAACAGGAATATATTATAAAAGTATATTTAAAGTATCAAAGCTGCACAATCTTTCAAAATGTTGTTAAAAAAAGGGGAATCAGCAGATTTCTCAACTTTTTATTTGGACAGTTGAATGTTGATCAGATGCCCATAAAGTAGATGTTCCATAAAATGCCTTTTTTTTTTTTTTTGCTGACTCATTGCAGAGTATGTAACCCTGATCTGAGTCTCAGTTTACCCCAGTCCACTTTTAAATAAATAGATAAACCCAGGCACTGAGTATATGTAAACCTCTTTTTGTATCACATAAGTTTTAGTGACACAAACTGTCACTAGGTAGAATGCGGGCTATCAGGATTTAATACAATTCTTGATTTCATGCATTCTTAGTTGCCTCGGCATGTTTACTGCAATAATCTGTAACAAGCAGCACATTTTCTGACTGAATACAAGTGTTATGGGTGTAGTTTACTGACATTGTTTCATCTAATTTGACTCTTTTTCATATTCTAGTTAACATGTGTCTGACAGTTCAGACCTTGTTTTTCCTGACCTGTCCACCAGTTGTCCACAGTGTCCTCCAAAGCTCATCACCTGACCGGTCTCCTCCATTTACACCTGTTTATTCACCTCCTTGAGTGTTTCACTGCAGGAACGACTGTATCATTCATTTTTGATTGATTAAAAACTATTTTAATTATTAATTATTATTATTTTACTGGGCAATTATCCTGAACTCTCCGTGTCAGTCTATGCTGACACTTCACTCAGCAGTGTTAGTGTAATGACACGTCCTGATAACACAGTTAGCAAGGCAATAACATTACTATCCTGTGCTCTCTGCACAAGTTGACATTCACTACATGCATTATTTATACAAAAACAAGCCACAGTTACTTTTTGTTTCTCCTGCACTCTTTCTGTTCATAGGATGGGAATTCCTGATGGAGGCACCAGACAAAAGCACTGGTTGTGTGAATTTACAAATGAGCTTTGTGTTTTTTAAAGCTAAAGATCTTGAATTCCAGGAAATAAAATTATCTGGATATAAAGTCAGAGTTTGAGTTCGTATTCCTACAGTAAACATCAATATTTAAGCATGCCATTCATCAATTTCAAATAATCTTAACTGTGTAATCCAGCTTCCTGAAATACCACAGGAACTCTTGTGTTTGACTGCATGTCTGTGATTATAGTCCACAAGGCCATCCTGACTGTGCTAAATAGGAGCAGATAAGCTTATCATCAATGATTGTTTCCCTGAAACATGCAGAGCAGAGGGTTAACAAAGCATTATAGATTGGATATACACACTTACTTAGTCTATTTTGTAATGTACACACAAATGTGTAAGAAGGGGTGTTGTCAAGGCACTGTCATGTATTTTGCATTTGACAAAGAGAGTATAATTGTAGGAGTTAGCCGTGACACAATGGCCAGCCCGTGATGATTTATCTCGATACCCACACATGATGGTAACACTCTTGATCAGGGCCTTTGAAAAGACAGTTGCTTGAAAAAAACACATCTGGCTTGTTAATCAGGAAATACAGACACTGCTGGTCTGTGCTACTCACAATGTTATGATGCTATTGCACATGTGAGAGCAATGGTGAGTTACTACCACACTTATACATTGGTGTAGATGGTACTCGGATACTTTGCTTCAGTTAAAGTACCTTACTAAGCATAGTACCTGAGAGAGAGAGAGACAGAGAGAGAGAGAGAGAGAGAGAGAGAGAGAGAGAAAAGAAGGGCTCAGTGCATCATGGGAGTACCCCCAGCAGTCTAGGTCTATAGCAGCTCAACTAAGGGATGGTTCAGGACTCACCTGAGGAAGCCCTAACTATAAGCCTTACCAAAGTCTGCCTCCCAAACCCAAACTGGGAGCTGGTTCCACGGGAGCCGAACCTGATAGCTGAAGGCCCTGCCTCCCATTCTACTCTTAGGAATTCTAGGAACCACAAGTATGCCTGCCTTTAGAGAGCGGAATGTTTTATTGAGATAATAAGGTACTATAAGCTTTTAAAGATACGACAGTGCACCATTAATTGCTCTATAGGTGAGGAGGAGGATTTTAAACTCTATTCTGGATTTTATAGGGAGCCAATGCAGAGAAGCAAAGACAGGAGAGATGTTATCTCTTTTCCTAGTTCCTGTCAGCATTTTTAATCAGCTGGAGGCATTTCACCGAGTTACTGGGACTGCCTGATAATAAACAATTACAGTAGTCCAGTCTAGAGGTAACACATGCATGAACTACTTTTTTAACAGTATTTTGAAACAGGATGTTTCTAATTTTTATGATATTGCACAGGTGGAAGAAGGCTGTCCAAGAAACATATTTTATGTGTGGAGTAAAGCACATGTCCTGGTCAACAATGACTCCAAGGTTTCTTACTGTAGCACTGGAGGCCAATCTAATGCCATCCAGAGTAACTACATTATCAGTTAATGTATTTCTGAGGTGTTTGGGTCCAAGTACAATACAACTACAAGTACAACTTCAGTTTTGTATGAATTTAGAAGTACAAAATATTTAAGACATGCCTGAAGTTTGACCACCTGTTTAGTTTCATCTCATGGATAAATATAGCTCGGTGTATCTGCGTAGCAATGGAAATTTATGTGGTGCTTCCTTACAATATTATCT